GGTCCTTGGTGCTCTCTGAGCTTGGTGGTTTTCTTGCAGACGTTTCATGACCCAACTAGGTAACCTCATCAGTGCTAGTAGGGAAAGGGAGAACTACAAGTGCTCCTTCTAGCACTGATGAGGTTACCTAGTTAGGTCATGAAACGTCTTGTGAGAAAACCACCCAGTTCAGAGAGCACCAAGGGCCCTGAGCTACCTTTATAGGTTAAAAACTTTTTTTAAAAAAATCACAAAATAAAGAAGGAACCGGTGCATAAACTGGGATGGAGGTGGAATCTGTTCTTGCGGGATTTTATCTAGCTGAATTTCTACCTGGGAGCTGCTTGTGAGCATCTTCCCTCCTTCCTCATAACAGGGAGTGATCCTTTGAGAGCACCTTCGCTAAAAGGGAGGGAGGGCGGGTTGATTGTCTAGCTAGTCCCTCCCCGTAACATGGGGGTTATGGGAGGGGAGGCATTGCAGATCCCACCTCCACCCTTTTTATGCACCCGCTAACTCCAAAGGCTACCTTAATCCAGTCCCATCCTCTCTGCCCGGATTTTTCCCTCCCGTATTTCATTCCATCTATTTTATTTTTTTTTGAACCCGAGAGATCCCTAAAAGACTCAAGCACCCCTTCGTGGCCTGAGCCTGGATCCCTTTCTAAGCCACATTTGAAGCCGTTGGACCCATTTCCTCCATTTATCACCCCTTCCTGGCCTAAGACTTGGATCCTTGGACGATTTGTTAGGTTTTTAAAGTGTTTTTAATCCACTCCCCGGTTTGGAATCCTTTCCTGAGCTAAGACTGGATCCTCTTTATGGTTTTATCCAGCGCTCTGGAGCCTTTTTAATCCCACTTTTCAATCACAAAATCGGTCACCTTTGTGGTCTGAGACTGGGTCCTTTTGGGATTTATTACATTTAACCCACTCCCCAATTTAGCACCCCTTCCTGGCCTGACTAGATCCTTTTATGATCTATTAAGGCATTGAAAGCCCTTTTAAGCCACTCCCCAATTTAACACCCCTCCCTACCTCCAAACTGGATCCTTTTATGATCTATTAAGGCATTGAAAGCCCTTTTAAGCCACTCCCCAATTTAATACCCCTTCCTGGCCTGACTAGATCCTTTTAAGATCTGTTGGCTTTTTCACCCACCCATCATCCCAGGGACTAGTTCCCTGTTCTTCTACCTACCCATTTAATAAAATCATTTGCACCCAGGAGCAAATGGGGAGGTATATTCTATAGGGCGGGATCCTTGAGCAAAGGATCCCCCCCAGAAGGAGATTTCAATCTGTTTTTTGACCAGCCAGATTCCTCCCAGGGGGAGGTGCACCGTTCCTGGAGGTACTGCAATACCAGGCCGATGCTTGGAGTGGACGGAGCAAGCCCCTATTCCATCTCCCAGTTCCAAAAATCCATTTAATATGTAGTCCTCAAATAGAGGACATATCAGATATTAAACTGATAAGAACAGATACTACACTTGATCTTAGCCAAAAGGCCGAGAAGCGATACTGGAGCCAGGCGGATGGCGCCCGAGACTCCCCTGCGGAGGGTGCTCCAGGTTTCGGGGAGCACGACTGGCTTGCAAAGGGATCCCAGGGGATCAATTCCGCCCGGCTCTTTCCCTGGGCTGGACTGGGACGGCATGGCCCGTGGGGCGATTTGGGGGTGAAAATGGGGGGTTTCTCCCTCCCCTGTGCGTTTCCCGTCATGCCAGCTGGCTGTCCGGATGGCCATTGGTGGAACATTTGCATAAGGTGAGTCACCCTCCCCGTCGCTCTCCTGCCCTGTCATTCCTCAGCTGGCCGAGGGGGGCACTAGCACTGCCCCCCCCCCCCCGGGCCTGGAAAAGGGGCCTGGAGGAGGGAGATGGGCTGGGGGGGTGGGCTGCTTCCCGCCCAGGCTGGGACCCCCGGACAGGACCCACCAGCCCAGCATGATGGGCACAGAGGTTCCCCCCCCCCCCGCTTGGCAGCTGCGTTTGGGCATCACACGGGGGGGGCTTCAGTCCCGGACATCCAGGCCTCCCTCGTGACTCGGGGGGTCCTGGATTAGGGGAGGGGGGTGCAGCAGAGTGTATTTGGGGAGGGGAGAGGAAGGAAGGAGCAAGAAGGAAAAGGGAGACGGAGAGAGAGAAAAAGAGAAAAGAGAAAAAGGAGAAAGGGAGGGGGAAGGGAAGGAAATACAGAGAGAAAGAATGGAAGGAGGGAGGGAAAGGGGAGAGAAAGGAAGAAAAGGAAAAGGGAGAAAGAAAGTAAAAGAGAAAAAGAAAGGGGGGGAGGAAGGGAAGGAAATAGGGAGTGGAAGGAGGAGAGAGGAAGGAAGGAGTAAGGAAGAAAAGGGAGAATGAGAAAGTAAAAGGGAGGAAGGGAAGGAAATAGGGAATCAGAGGAGAGGAAGGAAGGAGTAAGAAGGAAAACGGAGAATGAAAAAGTAAAAGAAAAAGGGAGGAAGGGAAGGAAATAGGGAATGGAAGGAGGAGAGAGGAAGGAAGGAGGAAAAGGGAGAATGAGAAAAAGGAAGGAAGGAAAGATGGAGGGAGAGGAAGGAGGGAGGGAGAGAAGAGGAAGGAAAGACAAGGAAGGACAGAAGGAAGAAGTAAGGAAGGTAGGTTCTAGGAAATAAACTGGTTCATTTGCCATCCATTCTGGGCTCAATTGTGGTCATAACTCGAGGACTACCAGTACTGGAACTGCCTTGAGCAAAACTATCCAGTTTGGCATGATCAGACTAGCATTAAAATAATTGAATCGTTGCACAGGGAATTCTGCAATGGTTTGTAAGTGGACAGACGAAGACAAGTCATTTTTTTCAGCGCTGTTGGAGCTTTGAACAGTCAGTCACTAAATGAAAGGCTGTAAGTTGAGGATGCATTGGGTCAGTTTGGTCATGTGATTTACGATATCAAGACTAGAAAGTGGAAGATGGTGAATTCTAGTTCTACCTTAGGCATGAAAGCTGGCTGGGTGACTTTAGGCCGATCACCAGAAGATGCTGAGTTCTAGTTCAGCCATGAAGCTGGCTGGGTGACTCGCATGAAAGCTGGCTGGGTGACTTTAGGCCGATCACCAGAAGATGCTGAGTTCTAGTTCAGCCATGAAGCTGGCTGGGTGACTTGGAGCCATCTCTTTGTTCAGCCCACCTCACAAGGTGGCTGTTGTGGGGATAATAGTAAGAAAGGTGTGTGGGATATGTTTACCACCTCAAGTTATTTGTAAAAATAAAGGCAGGATATGAAGAAATACAGCAATATTTTTTCTCTAGCTATAGTATCCATTGTGCAGAGTGGTGTGGTGGCCTAGTGGTAAAACCCTTGCCTCACAATCAGGAGGCTGTGGGTTTGATCCTGGATAGAGGCGGATATTTCTCTCTGGGCACAATGAGAATATATCTATTGAAAACAAAACAAGACTCCATACTGGCAACAGGAAGGGCATCCGGCCATTAAAACACTGCTAGCTCCATTCAGATTCTACCCTAACAAGGGATTATGGGATCATTAAATGACAGTGATATAGTATCTATTGAGTATTAAACAAAAGCTGCTTGCTTCATTCTCCAAGATGCTTGTTGTGTTATCCAAGAAACCACAAATCCAGAATTAGTGGTGTGTAAATCAACCAAAAAACCCCTCGTTATGCGCCAAACTGCTAATTTACTTGCAACAGTTTTTTTGTTTTGTTTGTGTCCTGGAAACAGAGCCATTGAAACAGTTTGAATGTATTATAATTTATTCCGCAGAAACTTCAGCTTTTCAAATATTATTTATTATACAGAAATGAAAAGGGGGGGGGAGTAGTATTTGCCCCAAATGGAAAACAATCCACATAAAAGACAATAAAAGTGCATCAATTTAGGAATTTAAATTTAATTAGATTAAATCAGACCTTCATTTAAACTGAATCGGGTATGCAGCAGAGAAATTTCGATTCTCAAATTATATTCGACCATTATTAGTAGGTGCCAAATTTAAGTGCTGTAGGATGCCAGCTCTGAGATTTACTGATTTTTTTAAAAAATGGCTATCACGTTTGTTTTAAAAAATGTAATTATTGGTAACAGCTTTGAATAACTGGAAAAGTACACAAAGAAATACATCCAATTAATACACTGCAGACTATGTTTCTGAAGTCTGTTGAAGTCCTGGGTGCCTTTCCATTTTGTCTGCCAGTCTTCATTTTTCTTGGTTACACCTCAATCTTGTCCAAACCCTTGTCAAAAAAAAAAAGAAGAAAGTTACAAGAATTAAATTAGCAAAATAAGGGGCAACATCCTAACACAATGTGCTCAGACCAAGAAGCCACATTTAAAAAAAAAGTTTTATTGAACATTTTTCAGCAGTTTAAAAACATATACTATTTAACATTAAACAGCATTGCAAATATTCATATATACATCACAATTTCGTTACTAATATTTTTTGTCTAACCACCTGTACCAAGCATCCCAGACCAGATAGTATTTCAATTCACCTCTATCTTTTAGCTCCAGTGTAGGCCTGTCCATCTCTGTGCAGTCTAAGATCTTTTTTATCACTATCCCTATAAGGTTGTGTTTCCAAGTTTGTGCATATATAATCCTGGCCGTGGTATTGATATGCAAAATAATATATTTATCTTTTTTACTATAATCCCCTCTTATTATCCCTAGCAAGAAAAGTTGAGGACTAAACTCGATTTGTTGGTCCCTTATTTCCTCTAACCATTTTTTAATTCTAATCCAATACCTCCTGGCTTCTGGACATGTCCACCACATGTGAAAAGGGTACCTTGACTTTTTTTGCATTTCCAACATTCTGGGCTCAAGAAGCCACATTTTCTATCCATGCCATACAAACCCCGCAAAACCTCTCACCCCATTGTAACCTAGTCGCTTACATGAAGTCATTGTAAAATGGGACGCAGCTTAACTGTCTTGCTTAGCAAGAGAAATCTGCTAAGTCGTTTGCCGAGGAGTATCCGTATGGTAAAGGGGAATTTGCCGTGTCCCGGCGCTTGAGGATAGAACCAGCGGATGGGAAAACCGCTGGCACCGAAGACATGACGCTGGGCAGCATTAGTTTACCTCCACACATTACAGAAATGGGTACAGGAAAACCCGATCCTGCCAAGAAAGGGAGGCTTTGATTTTTGAGGAAGGAAGGAAAGGAAGGAAGAAGGAAAAGAGACAAAGAAAGGAAAAAGAAAAAAAGATGGAAGAAAAAAAGAGAAAGAAGAAAGAAAAGAGAACATAACACCAGACCAACTTCTACCATCTTTTAATGTTTTCTCTTGGGCCTTCCATCCTCCTATACCATGGCTGTGGAGGATGGGAGGCATAGTGTCCCCGGGCTTGGAAAGAAATAGAAACCATGGTTTAGGAGAGAGAAACAAGGACCCTATGTGGGTTTGGAGTTTAAGAGGCTGCCACCCCTAAATTTCCCTGCAGGAAGATCTCTTGGGGATCTTTTGTAGGGAGACAGTGGATTCCCTTCAAATGTTGGGATTAAAGTGATCCTCTCACCTGTTCTTCCTGGAGTCCCGTCTCCTACATCCCTAAAAAGAGCTTTTAAGGATCAAGTTAGCTTTGAGCTTCCACAGATTGGATCACCAAGAATCATTGCTCTGGGATCTTTTGGAAATCTGCCGTCCTAGTGTGCTGGGGATCTGCCACTCAGCCTTTCTCCAGCCTCCATGTGCTTCCCACCGTCTCAGAGCAGCGTTTGCATCTTCCACCAAGAATGCCTCGGATCTTCCTTGGTAGGATTTCTCAATAAACGTGGCTCCTGACTTTTTCAGGGGAAGGGGCATTAAAAATGCTCTTCTTCATCTTTTTCTGTTTCTTGCCCTGCTGGGACGCCAGATCAGTAGCTGTATAAAAGGAAGAGAAAGAATGGGAAAGGAAGGAAGGGAAAGAGAATCATAGAAAAGGAGGGAAAGGAAGAAAAAGAAAATGAATAAAAGGAAGGGATGGGGGGGGGAAGCAAAAAGGAAGAGAAAATAAAAGAGGAAGAATAAGAAAAGGGAAAAGGAAAAAAAAGAAAAAGAAAGGAAGGAAGGGAAAGGAAGAAAAGGGGAAAAACGAAGGGGAGGGAAAGAAATAAAAGTGGAAGGAAGGGAAAAAAGGAAAGAATGAAAGGAAGGTAAAGAAAAAGAAGGGACAGTGAAAGATAACAGTAAAAGAAGAGAAAGATAATGAAAGGGAAAATATAGAAGGAAAAGGAAAGGAAGGAACGGAAAAAAGAATGAAAGGAAAGAAAGAGAAGGGAAAGAGTAAAAGAAGGAAAAAGGAAGGAAGAGAAAGATAAAGGGAAAATATAGAAGGGAAAGAAAGCAAGGGGAAAAAGGAAGGAAGAGAAAGATAATGAAAGAAAGTGAAAATACAGAAGGAAAAGAAAGGAAGGGAGAAAGAAAATTAATTAATAAACCCGGGAAAACGCCGAGCTCTTTCCAGAGCAGGCAGAAATGGAGCTCTTCTCTTGCATCCAGAGAGAAGCACGGACTAGGAATCCACTCGATCCCTTTGAAGAAGAAAAGAAACTTACCTGCCTTTCCCTACCTTTGCAGGGAGCAACCATTTCCGAAAGGAAGCCAGGACGCCACGCGGTCGATTCATAAAAACTCCGAGACAGGCACGTTAAAAGGGAGGAGCCAACCCCATCCCCCTTTCTGATTGGTCGCTTTCGTTTGGGCCAATGCGGATGTGGCAGCCGCCGCGCGCGCCTCCGCCTCTCTGTCACGTGATCCGCGGCGCCTACCCGGAAATGAAAACCTGCGGTAAAGAAGTCGGCCACGTGGTTTGTTTTTTTTCAGCATGGTTGCTCCTTCTGGGAAGATCAACCGGCCGCGGACGGTAATTCCAAGATACTGAAGAAATTAAAAATAAATAAATAAACTATTTATGTTTTTAAAGAGTTTTCGATTAGGGGTATTATTTATTTAATTCTAGGATATTTAAGAAATTAAAAAAAATTAAAGTGTTTATTTATAGTTGTCTATCTGAATTTCTGTTCCTATCTTCTTTCCCGCCTCCCTTCTCTCTGAATTTCTCTGTTCCTTCCTTTCTTCTGTCTTCCTTTATCTCCCTCTCTCAATTGCTATCTAGGATAGGATAGGATAGGATAGGATAGGATTCTTTATTGTCCAAGTGTGATTGGACACAAGGAATTTGTCCCGGTGCAAATGCTCTCAGTGTACATAAAAGAAAAGACACATTCGTCAAGAGTCAAGAATCATCAGGTACAACAGTTAATAATAGTCATAGGGTACAATAAGCAATCAAATCATACTAGGAAACAGTCAATAAAAATAGCAAGGTTATAAGCGACAAAGTTACAGTCATTCAGTCACAAGTGGGAGAGGATGGGTGATAAGGAGTGATGAGAACATTAACAGTAATAGTAATGGAGACTTTGTAAATAGTTGGACAGGGTTGAGGGAATTATTTATTTAGCAGAGTGAAGGCATGGGGGGAAAAACTGTCCTTCTGTCTAGTTGTTCTGGTGTGCAGGGCTCTCTAGCGTCCTTTTTATTGTGGGAGTTGAAACAGTTTACATCCAGGATCTGAGGGGCCTGTGGATATTTTCACAGCCCTCTTTTTGACTTGGGCAGTTTTCAGGTCCTCCATGGAAGGCAGGTTGGTAACAATAACTTTTTCTGCAGTCCTAATTCTCCTCTGTGTCTGTCCTGTTGAGTTGCAGAACCAAACCAGACAGTTACAGAGGAGCAGATGACAGACTCAACCATTCCTCTGTAGAACTGCATCAGCAGCTCCTTGGGAAGTTTGAACTTCCTGAGTTGGCACAGGAAGAACATTCTTTGGTGATGATGTTTTTGATGTTAGGTGTCCATTTTAGGTCTTGTGATATGATAGAACCCTGAAATTTGAAGGTCTACACTGTTGATACTACTGTTGATGTGTTGTCTAGTATTGTAAGAGGTGGTAGTATGGGAGGGTTTCTCCTAAAGTCTACCCTTCCTTCCTTTCTCCCTTTCTTTCCTTCCTCCACTTCCCTTCCCTCTCTCCAATCCAATCCAATCTGAACTACCTATGGTTGGATGATGTAGATGTTTATCCCAAGCATATTTAAGCTCAGTTACTGATGATTGTGACCCACTAACTTCCAGCGGAGGTTAAACACGCTTGGGATAAAGACGTATTTGATGTGCCCAACTGCCATTTTTCTGCAGTTTATTTTTATTTTTTGTTGTGGTGGCAGCTCCTTTTTAAAGCTTTCTCATTCTCTTGTGTCAGGAGCTGCGGAAAAAACTCTTCAAACGGCGCCGTGTCCTGAGCAAGGAGAAGCGAAAAAAACACCGCATTGTGGGAGCGGTGGTGGATGAAGGTCTTATCACCGTTCACCACCTGAAAAAGCGATCGTGAGTGATATGTTCGCTTTGGTGGATTATTTCTGGGGAAGAAAAATGCAAGCCAATGAAATGCTGTAATAAAAACTCTCAAGTTAACTTTCTAGGGAATTCTGGGAGTTGAAGTCCATCCCTCTTAAAGCATGCTGGATGGGGAATTCTGAGAATCGAAGTCTACCCATTTAAAAGTTGCCGAGGTTCAGGAACGCTGATTAAGATGACCAATTTCATTTTTCTAAATTTATGAGTTGACTTTAAAACATTTCTTCTCTGTTTGTAATTTCCTTGTTCTCTTCCAGATCCAGTTCACGGGCAAACATTACTCTCTCAGGGAAGAAGAAAAGAAAACTGCTTAAACAACTGCGTCATACCAATAAGGAAAAAGCAGAAATGCAGGGTAAATTTTCTTTCTTTAGTTGGGGAAAGGAATTTGGGCTTGCATTGTTCATAGAAGATGGATATCAACTCATAAACATTTCTATGAATGTTTTAGAGTTGCCATGAACAGAAAGGGAGGAGGAGAAATTTGAAAGAGCACTGCAGCAATTTGGAACCGAAAGTGCATTACGTTCTTATCTTGCAAAGATTATAACTAAGCAACCAGAGTTTTTGCCATGCAAATCTCTTAATTGGAGAACACGATTGATGACTCTTGGCTATGAATGTGTTTCATTGGAGAATATGAATTATGATACACCCAGAGGGATGGGGAAAACCAGGGTCAAGGGTGACATTGAATTACAGTCTCAGAATCGGGGACATACAGGTCATACCGACATATTAGCTATTAATAAATCTTTTGAAGTTTTTGAAGCTTGACTCACGAGGCTCATGATTTAATTAGGGCAACTGCTGGAATCCTCACAGTGAAAGGTAGAAGCATTCCACACTTGGAGGGAGTGAGATAGGAGATTTGAGCTCCTGCTCTTCTCTCTTGTGATCAACGTCTAATTGTTGCCTTTAAAGCGATTTCCAATTTCCATTTGCTTCATGGCCGTATGATTTGCTTAAAGACCATGTCACTTATTGACCAAAATTCATAGCTGGGATTTGTAAATCGAGGATTGTCTGTACTTTACCACTTGCTGGAAATTGGGTCAGAGATGTCCATGAGAGGGCAGCTTTATGGCTTTGAGAATGTGGTGACTTTTTTTTTTTTTTACTGTTTCCATCGTTCCTTTTGTACAGTTGATGTTTCTCCAGTTCAGAGTGCAAAAAGGAAGAAGAAAAAGGAGGCAACTCCAAAAGACTGTCCAGATGTTGAGATGGTGGAAATTAACATGACGCCTGGATTGGAAAGCTGAACCTGGCTTCCGAAATCTTGAAAACCAGTTTCTTTTCTCTTCTCCAGCCTATCGGTGACAGCATTCCTAGTTGGGGGTAGGGCTGGATGGAGAAGGAGGAGGAAAAGACAGGTTACCCCCACCCCACCCCCCCAAAATTCAGAGAAATCAGCTTTTCAACCAGTTTAGCTCCATAAAGTTTGTTTGCTTTTAACAGGAATTTAAACCCATCAACCACATTTTGAGAGGGTGTGTCTGATCCCTTTTTCTTTTGGTGATCAGCTCCCAATTCCTGAATTTGAGGAGTTACAAAATCGTTTAAAATTTAGCTAGCCTGAACTTGTACCTTAAAAAGGGGTGCTTGATAAGACAGAAGCTTTACAAGTAAGTAGTTTAAGATTTTCAGTGGCCATACCAGATTATGGCACAGATACCTAGAACTGTTCGTGTGTACAGTTAATCATACAAGATGCCAAATTTTTTTTAGCATTGGCAACCAATTTCAGTTGAAAGAGACGTGCACAGCAAAGATACCTATTTTCATATGTTCAAATTGTCTGTGTTCTTATCCATATAATAAACGGACCCAAAAAATAAAACACCCTGTGTCTTGGTTTAGAATTATGTTTTATTTTATTTTTGTGTTGTGAGGAAGAAGGGAAAGACTATGACTAGTTAGTACATTGTGTTAAGACATGGTGCATTTGGCAGTGGCTGTTGTCTAAACACAGTTAAAATTGTGAAATGGGAGCCAGTTATGTCCAGAAAACCATATTGACTGATCCAGGTTCTTGTCTGGAGTCAGAACTGTTTGAATGCACAAATTAGCAATGCTGAGCCATATGAAATTATTAACCATGGTTTAGCCATGGGGACTGGGCTGAGTTAATATAACAAGTGGCTCAAATTATTACAAATCTGGAAGTTTGCCTGGACCACTACACATCCTGTTCACGACCTGTTTTCCTTGTTACCTTTTGGAAGAGGGCTTCTTGGTATCCGAAGCAGAACATCCAGATTTATTCACAAGTTTTGTTCCATATCACATCAATCTTGTGAACTTCGCTACATATTCAAAATGGACAGTGATTAATATACCCCCATGTGTATGTATATATTAGACAAAACAATTAATCAGTGGAACAACTTGCCGCCAGAAGTTGTAAATGCTCCAATACTGGAAGTTTTAAAGAAGAGATTGGATAACCATTTGTCTGAAATGGTATAGACTTCCTGGTTGGACTAAAAGACCTCCAAGGTCCCTTCCAATTCTGTTATTCTATTCTTATTCTGTTCATGTATGTATATAGCACGTGGGTATGGGTAGATACACGTGCTATTGAGACCAGGCAACAAAATTTCATTTTTATTGTGTGCCAGTATGCTCAGAATAAAAAAAAAATGTAAGGTTAACTTATCTTAATTTTAAATTGAACTGAAGTTGCCCAACATCCAAGCAGAATTGAATATGTTTTGAGTATAAACTTATTAACCTTGATTCATAAGCCACAGGAACTGAGCTGAGTCTATAACACAGGTCTCCAAAATTGGCAACTTTAAGACTTGTAGACTTCAATCCTAGAATTCTCAGTAGTCTTAAATTTGCCAAGTTTGGAGACCCCTCGTCTAAAACAATAGTAATGGCTCCAAGTGTTACATTTAACTGAAGGTGCCCAGCATCCAAGCAGAACAATTGAATATGCTTTGAATATGCAGTTATGAATATGAAATTATTAACCTTGATTCATAAGCCAACGGGACTGGGCTGAGTCTCTATAATAATAGTAATGGTTCCAAGTGTTAACATGTCACTGAGAATAAAAACGCGCTTCGACCTGTGCGGAACGTTTGTTTCAGAGTCGAAGAACCGCGTAGAACTCTTCATCACGTGACGCTCTCAGTGCGCTGTTTTAATTCTTCCCCCATGTTCGGACCCAGCGTGCGCAGGCGCAAAGGAGGGAAAAACAAGAGGGGGAAAGGGTTTTTTTTTAAAAATCGTTTTTAGGTGTCTCGGCCGGTGCCGGCATGTCCGCTCTGTGCGATTCGGCGGGGGTGGTGGGGCCTCCGGGGTCGGCCCCGAGCCCCAAACCGGCCGCCGCGCCTCCGTCGCTCAGGTAGTTGGCGGGGTGGGGGGCGGGGGGGAAGGGAGGCTTCGGTAATCATGCCCGGGACGGCCCTTTCGAAGGGGTGCATCGCCCCCAACCTTTCAGGGTTGCCATGGTGATCCCTGACATTTGCAAAGGGGTGCAAAGGCTTTACCCCTAAGAGCTTGCCAGGCCTTCCTCAAAGGTGGGCAGACGACGAGGAAGAAAGGCGGGCGGGGGAGAAAAGGGAATTAATTAATGCTTGCAATTAATTAGCTTTTTAAGACGAGGATGGTGTTCAATGGACAGTAAATACTAGGGCTTTTAAAATATGTATGACGATTTTGATCAATAAAAGTCGATAAATGTTACGTTTCTTTAAAAGGAGGGTGAAGATGTTCAGTAAATGCTTTTTTTAAAAAAATGAGGGTAGGATCAGTGATTATTTTTTAAAAAAATGATATGATCATCAGCAAATGCTGTTTTTTTTAAAAATGAGGATATGATCATCAATAAATGTTATTTGTTTTTAAGAGATAATTAATAAAGTCTAGTTTTTTTAAAAAATACCGAGTCTATGATGATCCATAAATGATATTTTTAAAATCATAATGGAGATGATCAATATTCTTTTTCAAAAATGAGGATATGACGATGATCCATGAACCTTTTTTAAAAAAATGAGGGTGAAGATGATTATCAATAAATAATGGTGTTGTTTTTTTTAAATGAGGGTAAAGAGGATGATGGACAATAAATATCGAACTTTACATTTTTTAAAATGAGAATGTGAGCCAGTTTGGTGTAGTGGTGAAGGCTTGAAACCGGGAGACCGTGAGTGCTAGTTCTGCCCATAGATATGAAGCCAGCTGGGTGATTTAGATTCTCTCAAAGACAATGCAAATCGCTTCTGAAAATCTTGCCAAGAAAACTGCAAGAACTTCTCCGAGTCAGTCTTCGAGAATCCAATATGATTGAACAGAAGAAAAAAGAACGATGAAGATGACTGACGTATTTTATTTTATATATTAGAAAGGGGTGGTTTCTATAGTTGTATCCCTCTCCTGGGTGCATACATTGTTTTTAATCGGTATTTAGCACTGAACAAGGACCAGGTTTTTTAAAAAGCGGATCTTCATCTGTATTTCCCATGGATAAATTTTCTTGGCTTTTCTTTGAATTCTCTGCACATTACCCTTGCCCTAAACCTGAGTTGACTTTTCTTCTTTCCCCTGCAGTTCCCAAGAATTGGCCCAGGAGATCAAAGCTTTCCTCAGTGGCGTCGACCCCGTTCATGGGAACAAACTCACCATCAAGGAACATGCGCGTTGTGCCATTTTACTGCTGCGCAACTTACCTCCTGCTCGCAGTGCTGTGTTGGAGCACCTCCGGAGTGTCTTTGATGAATACGTCTGCACCTACCTGTTGGAACTGGAGGCCGGTGAAGGTGGGATGGGGGGCCTCCGCTCCCAGGGTCCCAACTTGGATGACGTGGTGTCGGAGATCCAAACCGTGTTGTCAGATTTTGTCCGCATGAATCCCAAAGCTTGGGCTGCCCTCGTTTCCTCCTGGTCTATCGACCTGATGGGGCAGCTGAGTAGCAAGTACGCCGGGCGGCACGACGTACCCCATGCTAGCAGCCTGAACGAGCTGCTGCAGTTATGGATGTCCTGCAAAGCCACGCGGGTCTTGATGGAGATTTACACCCAGTGCCTCTCCTCCATGATCAATAGCTGCCCAGATGCTTGCGTCGATGCCCTCTTGGACACCTCTGTCCAGCACTCGCCTCACTTCGATTGGGTGGTGGCCCATATCGGCTCCTCCTTCCCCAATACTATCATCAACCGAGTCCTCTCCTGCGGGCTGAAGGATTTTTGCGTGCACGGGACAGCTTCGTCGGATCTCCTGCTTTTCCCCAGCTCCACAGCAGCCGATAAGCGGGTTCCCAAGATCGCCTCGGTGGTTGGGATCCTTGGCCACTTGGCCTCTCGCCACTCGGAAAGCATCAAGCAGGAATTGCTGAGAATGTTCCACAGGAGCCTGGGGCCCACCCGGGACCAGCAGCAGAAGGCCACAGTCCCTTTCCTGCTACAGCTGGCGGTCATGTCCCCCACGCTGCTGAGCACCATCTCCGCCGAGCTGGTGGACTCGCTCAAGCCCAGCGTCCTCAACCAGCTGCACCAGCACTTTGTGGCGCTGCCCCGTGAGGAGCTAGAGAACATGGTCAGCATCGTGGTGCACCTCATCTGCCAGACGTCTGGAGGCGCCTACCGTACTTTGCAGTTCCTTGTCAACACCGCCATGCCCGCCTCAGTCATCACCACCCCCGGCCTGGCGGTCCATGACAGCGTGCGGGAGGCCTGTGACCGGGTGATCCAGCTGCTGCTCCTCAACTTGCAGAAGCTGGTCTACAACCGAGGTTTGGCCAGCTTGGGGGAGGCCCCTCCCCGCGCGGTGCCGTTCTTGGACGACCTGAAGAACCACATGCAGGAGCTTTGCACGGAGACGCTGAAGCTGGAGAGGAAGAGGTTTCTCTGGCTGCATCAGCTGCTGGTCCTGCTCTCGGTCTACTCCACCCCCAGCTGTGCCAGCGAGGCGCTCTTCTACCTTCTGACCCTGGCCAAGAGCCAGGAGGAGCTCAGCCTCGCTACCCAACTCTACGCTGTCCTCAGCTCTTGCATGACCGACCTGCTGCCCGCCCTGGTGAAGAAGTCTGTGCGCCAGCTCCATGCTGGGTTTCTCTCCGACCAGCACATGGCTCAGCTCTTCCAGAACTTGGCCTTGATCATGCAGTGGGAAGGGGAGAACTCGGCCTCCATGGGCCACCAGCTAGGCCAGGCCGTCTCCTTCCACATCTACGACTTTGGGCAGCTGCTGCTGCACAGCAATCCGGAGGTGGCCCAAGCAGCCGCTCTGCTCCTCTCCGTCTGCCCCATGCCCAAGGCAATTCGGCCGGCCCATTTACTCTTCCTCGTCCGTTCGTCCGTGCATCACTTCTTCTCGGTTTTGAGGGACAAGTCTCCGGCCGGCATCAGCTACGGAAGCCGGCTCCTTTGCGGGCTGAGCGGTGTGTCAGCCACAGCCAGCAAGGCCATCCTGCAGTACCTGGTGGAAGGCGCCTTGCACCAGGGCAATGCTGAGCTCTTTGGGGGCACGGCGGAGCCCCCTGCCGCCAGGAACAACATCACGCTGGAGGCCACCAAGCTGTCCCTCCTGGACATCAACCGGCGCTTCATGGCAGCCGTGAACTTCTCCGGCAGCGTCTGGTCGGTCTTCCACGCGGGAGTGATCGGCAGGGGCCTGAAACCGCCCCAGGCGTCGCATCAGCAAGAGCCCGAGGAGATCTCCCACAACATCCAGGTTTTTTTGGGCCTCTTGCTGAGGTGCTGCGGGTCAGGACGCTCGGTACCACCCGAGCTGCCCCAGGGCAATGCCATCAACCCCGAGGCGGCCAAGACGGTGGCGGTGGTGTTGGTGGAGACGGTGTGCCCGGACGTGACCAACAGCGAGCTGGCTTGGCCCCCCGAGGAACACACGCACAACACCGTGGAGCGCGACATCCGGATCGGACGCTCCTTCCGCGACAACCCTTTGCTTTTCGAGCTCTTGAAGTTGGTGGCGGTCGGGAGGCCCGCCTTGTGTTACTGCTCGGTGCTGCTCCGGGGTTTGATGGCCACGCTGATGGCTCACTGGGAGGCCTGCCGGGAGAACGACACCACCAACTTCCCCTGGGCCCTGCAGGCCTCCTGCACGCTGGTGGCCTGCATGGGAGATGGCCACCTTCTTCCCCCTGTCCTGAGCAACATGCACGAGATCTTTGACCAGCTGGCTCCCTTTGAGGTCCACCTGCTCCTCCTCAGCGTCTGGGACTACATGAGGGACAACAGCCCCCTGCCCCAAAAATTCAGCTTCAATGCCAGCACGGGGCTCTTCTTCCGGGACTTTTCGCGAGACACCGACGCGGGCAAATACCTCTACGTCTTACACAGCGTCGTGCACAAGAACATCGACCGGCTGGGTCTGCTTTCAGGGCGGTTCCATCCTTAGGGGGCTCGGAAGGTGGTTTGGGGAGGACCACTTGGATTTGGGAGTGGGGGGTGGGTGGGCGGGGGAAATGGGGGCTCTTTCGTGGATTGGAATTTGGAGAGAAGGGCCACGAGAGGCTCTGGCGCAGTTTGCTTTGACGTGCAAACAGGAACCGACTTTGGATGGAGAAGAGATGATTTATTTTGGGGTTCTCTCCCTCTTCTTGGGGTTTTAACTGGTTCAACTTTGCAGTTAAGGAAGGACTAACTAAGGGAAGGTCGGAAATAACATGAATAGATAGAATATTTGCGTTTTGTTTTCTTGCACTTCCTCTTTCTCTTCTTCTTCTTCTTCTTCTTCTTCTTCTTCTTCTTCTTTTCTTCTTCTTCCTCCTCCCCCTCCTCTCTTCTTCTTTTTCTTCTTCTCCTCCCCCTCCCCCTCTTCTTTTCTTTCTTGTCCTCCCTTCTACTTCCTCATCTTTTCCCCTTCCTTCCTTCTCCTCTCCTTATTTCTCTTCCTCTATTCCGTTTTCTCCTCCTCCTCCTCCTGTCCTTCCTTCTCCTCTTCCTCTTTTCATTCCTTACCTTTTCCCTATGCTCCTCCTTTCTTTCTTCCTCTTCTGTTCCTCGTCTCTTCCTCTTCCACTCACCCCCTCCACCTCCACCGCCTGGCCTTCTTTTCCTCTCCTCCTCCTCCTCCTCCTCCTCTTTGCCTGCATTCTCTACTTTTTAATGCACGCAAGAGTTTCCTTATTGAACACTCGCTCCCACACAGACAAAAAAAATTTAACAAAGAAGTTCTTCACAAGAGTTTTTTATGACAGTAAATATAGCCACATCATCAGTATTGCGTGGCAGGCAGAGCTGGAGGGACTTGATTGGAGATTCCTCATTTTCATCCTTCAGTTGATTCCGAGTACAAATAAATAAATCAATAAAAGCGGGAACTCACAGCTCTTTGCATTCTCTTCATAATTAGCGCAGTGGGAAAATACTTAATTTTCTTTCTCCGCAAGAATTGGGACGGACTTTGTGTACACAAGACTGAAACGGATGATTCATGGATCTGGGGACATTTAAAAAAAAGGTTAAAAACAGAAGGAAAAGAATAAGATGTAAGTTACTCAATAGAAGGGAGGAAGTCAGAATTTCGTGGTCTTATTTCCTAACTTTTTTCTTATTTTTTTAAAAAATAACTTTTATTGTGCTGTAAAATTTTAATGATAATAAAAAAAAAGTGAGCAAACCAGGCAAGGATAAGCCTTGCAAAAAACACCTTTTGTTTTCCCGTGCAGGGTTCCTGGACTGCCAAGCCCCCATCATCCACAGCCAGCGGGGGATGATGGGAGTGGTGGCCCCCCACTGCAGGACGCTCCGTAGCTCCCACGGGCTACTCTTCTCTTGTTCCCCCCCCATTTCCTCTAAGAATGTAGTCGTCCAGCAAACCTCACCCCCCTCCCGTTCGATCGAACATGGGAAGCCCCGTCCTATTTAGCCCGTGGGGGGCGTTCGCCGGGCCATCGTCGGCTTTGACGATTGGTGGAGCGCGAGGGCGGGCCTTGAGGAGGAGGCCAATGGGGGCTCGGCATGCGGGGAGGCGGGGCTTAGCCGCGGCGAAGGGGGCGGGTTCCGGAAGAATCCAAGATGGCGGCGGCGGAGGCGCCCAGGAGGTTAGAGCGAGTCTCACTCGCGGGTTTTTTTTGGGGGGGTGGGGGGGGCTGCGGCGTATTTGTGGGTGGGGGTCGCCCACCAAGAGGGTTTCTTTCCTTAATAGACTCTGTTTCATCCCTGCTTCACTCTCTTTTGAACTTGGAGCACCCCCCGCCCCCTCCCCTAATTTCCCCCCTCTCGGTGCCTCAGTTTTCCCCTTGGTGTTCTGCGACCCATGTGGCTTTTCCGCCATCTGAGGCAGCCGCGTCTCCCCCCCCCCACCTCTCTCCCTTCCCCACTCGCCCCGCACGCTTTGCACCCCACGGCTTCCCCTTTTGCAGGGCACCAGACCGACCTTGCCAAGCGGAGCACTACACCACCCATCATCCTGAGCCGAGCGGCCTCCCTTGGTTGTGCGTGTGTGTTGGAGTGGGGGGAAACCTCTTGCTCTTCTGGCCAAAGTGCACCCAAGCCCTCCTTCCCCTGCATTTGAATCCGCTCCTCCCACACTCTACAACAACCTAGCTTGCCTGTCTGAAGGGGATGATGGGTCTTGTAGTCCCAGCCACGTTCCAAGGCTCTGCCAATGAGGGAACGATTCATGCAGCGGCCTCCCTTTTGGGAGAGTTTAGGAGAAGGTCAGCCCTGGGTGCTTTCCAAACATCCTTCACTCCAACTCCCATCAGCCCCAGCCGGGAAAGGATGATGGGAGCCGCCTTCCCAAACATTTAGGGGTTACCAGGCCGCTTAGCAAAGCGTGCTTTTTTCCCAGGAACCCATATGAGGGCAGCCTCTGTCTTTCCCTGAGGCCTCCTGCAATTGATATGGATAGTCCTTGACTTCCAACAGTTACATTTAGTGACAATTTGGACTTACAACAGCACTGGAAAAAGTGACTTATGACCGTTTTCCCCATTTATGACCATTGCAGCATCCCCATGGTCACGTGATCAAAAGTCAGACGGTTGGCAACCGGCTCGTCTTTACGACGGTTGCAGTGATTCCCTTTTGCGACCTACGGACGAGCAAACTCAACAGGGAAGCAAACATTCACTCAACAACTGTAGCAAGCGCGGTCGTAAAATGGGGCACAAAACTCACTTGACAAATGTCTCACTTAGCCACGTTAATTTGGGGCTCCATTGCGTTCCTATTTTGAGGACTGCCTGTAGACTGCCTCTTGCCAGGGAGGTCGTCCGCTGCCTCGGATGGATTTTTGTCTCAGAACTGAAGAAACTTCTGGAATGAGAAGCAAAGTGTTTTCAAGAACAAGAAAAAGAACCCAAGAATAGAATAGAATAGAATAGAATAGAATAGAATAGAATAGAATAGAATAGAATAGAGAATAAGGAATAGAATAGAGTAGAGTAGGGTAGAATAGGATAGGATGGAATGGAATGGAATGGAATAGAAGGAATAGAATAGAATAGAGAATAAGGAATAGAATAGAGAATAAGAAATAGAATAGAATAGAATAGAATAGAGAATAGAATAGAGAATAAGGAATAGAATAGAATAGAGAATAGAATAAGGAATAGAATAGAATAGAATAGAATTTTTTTATTGGCCAAGTGTGACTGGACACACAAGGAATTTGTCTTGGTGCAGATACTCTCAGTGTACAAAAAAGAAAAGATACATTCATTAAAAGTCAAGAATTATCAGGTACAACATTTAATAATAGTCACAGGATACAATAAGCAATCAAATCATACTAGGAAACAGTCAATATAAATTGTAAGGATACAAGTGACAAAGTTACAATCATACAGTCACAAGTGGGGTGGGGATGGGCTAGAATAGAATGATGAGAAGATTAAGGAGTGATGAGAAGATTAACAGTAATAGTAGTGCAGACTTTGTAATGGTTGAACAGTGTTGTGGGAATTATTTGTTGAGCAGAGTGATGGCATTTGGGGAAAACACTCATTGTGTCTAGTTGTTATGGTGTGCAGGGCTCTATAGCGTCGTTTTGAGGGAAGGAGTTGAAGAAAGTCCAGACTGCCTTTTAGAAAAGCACTTTGGGGAGAATATTTGCATATTTTTCCTGGAAAGTCTTATAAAAATAGATGTTTTTCAAGCTTGAAGGTAGCCAGCCTTTGCTCTCTTTCTCTGTCCACTTTGTCTCTTAAATCTCTTCGTTGCAAAATATGTTGATCTTTGCCCCGGGGAACTAATTTGCCCTTCGCTCCTTCTTTTATGACCACGATTTTCACCTGGTTTATACAAGAAGACAACGGTTGGTCAACCTTGACAGCTTCAGGATACGCTAACTTCATCTCCCAGAATTCCCCTGCCAGCATGGGAATTCTGGGAGATGAAGTCCACACCTCTTAAAAGTGCTTAAAGTTGACAAACACTGGACTAGAAAGCTGGTTTTAATGCTTAACGTTGCTGGGATGTTTATAGGTAATCCTCGACTTGCAGCCATTCGTTTCACAACAGTTCTAAGTTACAACAGGGCTCAAAAACAGTGACTTACGACTGGTCCTCACCTTGCAACCCTTGCCTCCCCGTGGTCATGTGGTCAAAATTCAGGGGTGTGGCAACCAACATGCATGTTTACAACAATTGCAGAGTTAACGGGGTTATGCAATGGCCATTTGCGGTTTTCTTCGTTGGGGAGCAAATTCCTTGGGGGATGAGTGGAAGGAAAGCCATATTGACTTAGCATCCTTGTGATTCGCTTAACGACCACAACCGAAAGGTCATAGAATTGGATGTGACTCCTTGAACGTTTGCTTCACTTAGCAACGGAGATTCCAGTCCCAACTGTGTCTGCAAGTGAAGGAATACTTTGTACTCCTGACATTCCTTTACTGGTCATGTATCTAGTGAAATGGGATAACAAGAAATTTCTTCTTAATTCTAATTTCTCTCCTTGATCCGTTGCTTCTTGTCCTGCCTTCAAGTGCTTTGGGGAACAGCTTGACACCCCACTTCTTTGGGGCAACCCCTCAAATACTGGAATACTGTCACCCCTTAAACTAGACACCCCAATTCCTGCAACCGTTCTTCAAATGTTTTAGCCTCCAGTCCCCTAATTGTGCGTTGCTTGAAAGTATCTCTACCTTCGTGTTCCACCTAGAATGTCTGCGTTCGTGTGGTTGACTCTTCTCCTGGCTGTGGTGTCGGCGGTAGACAAAAGCAACTTCAAGACCTGTGACCAGAGTTCCTTTTGCAAGTAAGTTGTGTGAAAAGGGAAGAGGTGGAGAGATACTGAACCTTGTTTGTTCCCAAAGAGGAGGTCCTTCTCTCCTGCCTGGCCCTGGGCCTGCCATCTTGGGGGTGGGGTCCTTGGAGGCCGAGAAATGACCTCTCTCTCCAGACTGGGCGTGAGATTACCTAGCATGGGTGGTCTGTCTCCAGTAACCATGGTTTCCCCTCTTCAGGCGTCAGAGAAGCTTACAACCTGGAAGCTCCCCTTATAGGGCGCTGCTGGAATCCCTGCAGCTGAGCCAAGAATCTATGAAAATCCAGCTTGTTAATGAAGCAAACAAGGTAAATGAAACCCCTTGGGCTTCCTAAAAGGTCTGGAGAGAGACTCGCTCTCTTTCAGACCAAACAGAAGGTCTGAGGGTTAGAAAATTGAGAACGGTCCCTGTGTGGGATCCTTTGCGGGGTGGAGTCTCTGATTTTCTTGCAGATATTTCATGACCCAGCTTGGGAACTTCATCAGTGCTAGAAGGTTTGTGAGGAGGAGGAGGGGGAAGAAGAGGAGGAGGAAGAGGACTGTGGGATCCTTGGTGCTCTCTGAGCTTGGTGGTTTTCTTGCAGACGTTTCATGACCCAGCTAGGGAACATCATCAGCGCTTGAAGGGAAAGGGTGGCTTGGTTCTCTATACCGTTGAAAGGAGACAATTAGACGTATATTTGGAATATTAAGATTGCACCAATAGAAGAAAGTATTTGTAGCTCAGGGTTGAACTGTGTGGTCCATGGTGCTCTCTGAGCTTGGTGGCTTTCTTGCAGACGTTTCATGACCCAACTAGGTAACATCATCAATGCTAGAAGGGAGTGGAGGAGGAAGAGAACTGTGAGGTCTTTGATACTCTCTGAGCTTGGTTGTTTTCTTGAGGACGTTTTATGACCCAGTTAGGGAACATTATCAGTGCTAGAAGGGAGAGTGGTGGAGGAAGAGGACAAGAGTAGGGCCCCTGATGCTCTTTGAGCCTGGTCATTTCCTTGCAGATGTTTCATGACCAAACTAGGGAACATCATCAGTGCTAGGAGGAGTGAGCCTTGCTCTCTGTTTGTATACAGTTGCAGGATATAAATAAATAAATAAAAATCTGGTTGTGGATTGCTGGTGACTGGGTGTTTTGGTCTTTTGGTTTACCTTGTCGGCTTTCTGTGGTCTCTTTCAAATGGTATTTCCCCCCCTCCCCCCCCCCATGGCCTTACGCTGTGGGGTGAGATTTACCAGTGGGGAAAAGCCAGTGGGAATCCGTTCTTCCCAACCTCAGGTTCCTCTCCTCCTGGAGTTCTACGGCTTGAAAGGGAACATGACCCGCCTCCGGATCAACGAGTTGACGCCCCTCAAACCCCGCTATGAGGTACACGACGTCTTAATCCAGGACCCTCCCACCTCCAGGTACGGGGATGGGCCGCTGCGTTGGCCAGGGGTCTTTGGGGAGGGGATTCTACGGGAGGGGATGGAGAGATGGACGTTAGGAGACTGGGGGTCTTTAGAGCTTCCACAGAGCCGGGACGTTTAAGCGATAGAAGGCTTAAAAGAGTTGGCATCACATCACACACTGGACTAGGAGCTTGGCTTCTGGGTTTCATAGGGAGCCAGTTTGGCTGAGTAGCTAAGGTTGGAAATTAATTGGAAAAGCCGGCAGTTCAGCGGTTCGAATCCCTAGCATTGCCGCGTCACGGAGCGAGCTCCCGTTCCTCGTCCCAGCAGCTTCTGCCAACCTAGCAGTTCGAAAGCATGTAAAAAATGCAAGTAGAAAAATAGGGACCCCCTTTGGTGGGAAGGGAACAGCGCTTCGTGTGCCTTCGGTGTTTAGTCATGCCGGCCACATGACCGCGGAGACGTCTTCGGACAGCGCCGGCTCTTCGGCTTTGTCACTGAGATGAGCACCGCCCGCTAGAGCCGGAAAGGACTAGCATATATGTGCCAGGGGAACCTTCACCTTTAAGGCACCCAAGCTGAAAAGCGGGAGATGGTGAGAAGGAAGGCGCTGACCTAGAAACCAGGAGATGCTGAGTTCTAATATGATCTTAAGCCTGAAAGCCAGCTGGGTGATTTTGGGCCAATCATTAGGAATCAGTGAGTTCAAGTCCTGCCTTAAGCATGAAAGCTAGCTGGGTGATTTTGGGCCAATCGCTAGGAGATGGTGAGTTCTAGTCCTGCCTTAAGCATGAAAGCTAGCTGGGTGATTTTGGGCCAATCACTAGGAGATGGTGAGTTCTAGTCCCGCCTTAAGCATGAAAGCTAGCTGGGTGATTTTGGGCCGATCACTAGGAGATGGTAAGTTCTAGTCCCGCCTTAGTCATGAAAGGTGGTCGGGTGATTTTGGGCCAATCACTAGGAGATGGTGAGTTCAAGTCCTGCCTTAGGCATGAAAGCCAGCTGGGTGACTCTGGGTCAATCCCTCCCTCTCAGCCCAGCCCAACTCACAGGATGGTGGTTGTGAGGAAAATAGGATGAGGTTGGGTATGTTCACAGTCTCGAGTTATTTGTGAAAATAATAAAGGGATACAAAAAAAAATATACGACAAATTAAAAAACAAATTCTGGGAGTGTAAGTCCACACTTCTAAAGAAAATCCTGAACTCATTTAAAACCAAGGTTGGAGACCCCTGGTTTAAACATCCTTCGGTGAACAAGTGAGGTTATCAGGTGAGATAACGTCGTTTTCCCCTTTCTCATTTCTGCTCTGCCCTCATCCCGCCCTTGCGTGCGTCCTCCCCACCCCCACCCCCCAAGATTGTCTGTCACAGGCCGCGACGAGAACAGCGTGGAGCTGTCGCTGGAGGACGGGAGCCACAAGGTGATCCTGACAGCGAAGCCCTTTCGCATGGACCTGCTGGCCGGGCGGGACCTGGTGCTGAGCGTCAATTCCCGGGGCTTGCTGGTATTTGAACACCTGCAACAGAGGAAGGACTCGTGAGTACCTGGGATCTCCACGTCTGGAGTTTGGAGAAAGGGGGTTTTTTTGGTTCCTTGGGAGCGGAGGAGAGCCTGCTACCGGGGGGAAAAAGAAGATGGTTTATTTAGGCTAGCATTCCTGGCTTCAGCCCAAGAACTGGAGATGGAAGCACAATGTTACTCAACTATCCATCACCTGCGGGGTCCTTGGTGCTTTCCGAGCTCAGTTCTATTTTCCCGCAGACGTTTCACGACCCAACTAGGTAACGTCCTCAGTGTTTGAAGGCAGCGGGGGGTCTGCTCTCTATTTATATACGAGTAGCTTGCCCTGCCAGTGTTGTCGGTTTACAACTCGATAAACCACAACCTAACCCAGGGACCACCAAGAAAGAGCACACCCAGCAATGCCCGCAGGGCAAACCGCTGTGTAGAATTAGATCACACGTAAGGACACTCCCGCCTCTTATTTTCCCAAATAATGACAACCCTAAGAGGGTTGAGAGGGGGGGACTGGTCCTAAACCACCAGCTAGCTTTCATGCCTATGGTGAGACTAGAACTCACAACCTCCTGGTAACTGACCCTAAGTGACACAGCTAGCTTTTGTGCCTTAAGGGAAGACTAGAACTCACCGTCTCCTGGTGAGCCTGGCCCCAAGTGATGTAGCTAGCTTTCATGTCTAAGGCAGGACTAGAACTCACCATCTCCTGGTCTCTAGGTCAGCTCCTTTACGACTACACCAAACTTGACTCTGATGTTCAGAGATTTATGGGCATTTCAATCCTCCAGAAATCAAAAGATTTAGAAGCCTCGTATATGTTACGTAAGGAAAGCACTGAGCTTTATATCTAGGCACCTATTTTCCTGTCTGTCTGACTCTCTGGTGGATTGTAGAAGGATAGACAGAGCCTTCCATCCTTCTACAAGGAAGGTATTGGATTTTCAAATCCTTTTCTTTTCTAATCCACAAAATACACCCTCCTAGTCATCCTTGTTTATCCCCAGGCAGAATCCAGGCCTAAGATGACATGGATAAAGGCTGGATTGCCAGTGTTGGTTTTTAAATAGTGGGTTGTTGTTTTTTTAAACCTATCTGGATTTCTTGTTTTGTTTTTTGACTTTCAAATGTCATAAAATCTCAAGCTCGTGTCTATGTTAACGTTGTACTGCACCCATTAAAACAACGAAAAATAATTTAAAATCGATTTGTTGGGTTTGGTGGTGGGGGGAATTATTTGGGTTATTTTGTATAGCATCTGGGTTGATCTGAGCACAAAATCATGGTGTGTTGTTTTTTCTTTTACTCTAGTAAAACCCACTGGCAATCCTGCTAAATAGATAAAAATAAATAATAAGGATGCATTTTGGTTTTTGTTAACTGGGGTTTATTTGAGTTTCAAAAACTTGGTTGTTGTTTTTTTGTTTATTTATTTATTTTTTGTTTAAAAGAAATTAATTAGGCAGGGGGGGTTGGGGGCATCTTTTGAGATTCCTTGCACTGACTCTCCGTTGTGTTTTCTGTTTTTGTTGGTCTGTGGCCCCCCCCCACAACTCTCGCTTGGCCCCCCCTCCCAGTTTCTCGGATAAAGTTAGTGACACGGTCGTTAGCATTTGGGATAGGATCACGAGCGTTTTTTCTAGGTAATTCCGCAAGCTTCTGCTTCTGTTTCTCAACCCCCTTTCCCTCCGTACAGAAAAACGGGGTCCGCTGCCCGGCCTTGGTGACATAAGCAATGGGAGGAGCCACACACCCCCTCTGACCCCACCCCCCCACCCCAATCCTTCCTCAAGATTAAGAATGGAGAATGACGTATGGTGGGGTGCGGAGGAGATTCTCACGTCAGCCGCAGTTCGGCCCGGCAAGAATCAAGCGCTGGGAAAAAGGACTTAGATCCAGAGGGTGGGGTGGAGGGCATAGGATAGCCACAAATATTTTTTAAATTGATTTTTTTTAAAAAAAAATTAAAACATTGCTTCACTGTTCTTGAGGACTAGAGCCTTAACAGCTAAAAAGCTATTCGTTTACCAGATTGTAGGAGGGAGGGAAAATATAAATATATATATCCCTAAACTAGGATATTTCTGGGTTCTAACTTGTTTGGGACTCATCTGGATATTCCTTCCCTCTTTTCTGAAAACTCACCAGCCATTTTTCCTTGATTTCCTGTGTGCAGAATCGGATCTCTTGAAAGGGAAGTGGATTCTTTCCATATCCGATTCTGTGTTGTTGTTTTTTTCCCCCTCTCCCTTTTTTCTGGACCCTAGAATGCCTTCCCTCCTGAGGGCTGGGTGAAATCTTGAAATATTAAACCGCCTTGCCCTGTTTAGGAGACATGGGGAAGCCTTAGGTTAGCTAAATATCACTGT